CTGTGTCACTCTGTGGCACTGCAGTAGCTGCTGGTAAACACAGAAATCTTGAGGCCCTGCTCTCTCTTCTTTCAGAGAACTGTCTCGTAGGGGCAGAAGAGCAGTGGCCAGCTGGAGGATTGAAGTTATGCTGCTCCGGGGAACACAGATGCTTTCCACCACCAGAGCATCTGTCACTTGTATTTGCTTAATTGCAGAAGTGGTTTTGACACCAAGCAACAGGCAGACTAAATATTTTATTTTAAATGGGCTTAGAGTTGCTATTTTTGACAGATTAAATAACAGAGCCCTTCTTAATTAAAACAAGTGAAATAAAAAGTGTTGGCATTTGTATGTGAACATCTGCAGTAGCATTTTTCTTTGTAGTTACTGTGCACTGTGTGACTGTATATGGAACCAGTGCTGATTCTGAGATTAAAAATTATGTAGAGTATTTGACTCAATGGATTATCTTTCCTGAGGACTGGAAAGTCTTTTTTTAAATATAAAGAGCAGTAAAATTTGTTGTTCCTTTTCTGTATTTGTTTTCACAGGATATTTGCAACTATTTGGGTACATTTATGAAAAGTAGCCAAGGCAATCAGAGCCAGTGCAGGTGCATGGCACAGCAAGTGAGGGATTGTGACATAGTGAGGGTGATTTTTGAGTTGGGGAAACCCCAGGGAAGTGCAGAGACAAGCCAGGAACTGGCAGTGTGATGTAGGTGGCACAGCAGTAATGGCAGACAACCCTCTCCCACAAAGGGCAGCCCTAAGGAGCATGAATTATCAGTTTCTTGGTTCTGTCTAATGTGTTCCATCCCAAATGAACATTGTATTAAGTAATACTTGGAATACTTCTTAACAATGTTTAATGATTTACAAATGACCTACCTTAGTGAAAATTATGTGTGAAATTAAGATGAAAAGTTCTCAAAATACTGAGTCATACAAATCTGAGAGCTACTTTTGACTAAGCACAGGTAGTTTTTTTTTTTTCTGGAAAAGGTGTAATAAAAGGGCAAGGTAGTGTTTTTGCCCCTTGAAGAAGACAAAAGGAAAATAACTAAAGTTTGTCTTTCATCTCTTCAGTTGGTCTTAACAGAACTCTTACTATCTGATCATCAAAGGTGTAGCATCACAAAAGATTTAGCAGAAGGTCATGTAAGAGAAGAAACGTCTAAATATCTCCAAAAAATGAGTAGCTCAAAGTCACAAATAAAGGGAAGGTAGTGTTGTGCAGAGAATTGATTTAAACCTTTGAATGAAAAACTTCATTTTCTCTATGTTACAGTCTAAGCAATGAAGTTCCATCACAGACCAGAATTCATTTTTGATATACTTTGCCCTGCTGTTTTGCACATGAGGAATCATGAGACTCATATTGGAAACAGTTCTTGTTTCCGACATTAAATATTTTATGAACCTTTATGTATTTATTAGCTTGTATTTTATCTTTCCAGGGACAGATTCTGGATTTTTCAGGTTTTCCTCAGTACAGACAAATAACAGGCTGATTCCTGAGGGTGTGGCTGGGTGGAGCCAAAGATACCTCTGGTGTAGGTTTGGAGGGGATGTGCTATGAATGGCTTTGTGGTACTGCCTTGGAGCTGCGAGAGAACGTGGCCTCATGGGCTCTGCTTAGGAGCTCCTGATGAGGGAGGTAGGACATGCTAAACAGCAGAAGATAGTGTCTCCAAGCATCCAGGACATAAGATCACAGAAGTTCATTGTGTTTTCTCTCTACAAGATTCAGGTTGTGATCCTGTCTGCCATAAGGGAACCACCACCAGTGACTAAAACTGCTCAGGCTTCTAGTCCATGTGGTTCGCAACCTCTCATAATGTATATAATACGCTGGATAATAGTTTTAAAGTTGGTCAGTTTGGTCAAGCTTATAGTGCAAGAAAGTGTTGTAGAAAGGGGTAGAAGGGAAGATGCATCTTGTTTGGACCTTGCCAAGTTTTCAAGAACCAGATTAGTCTTCTATTGACAAATGGGCCAGTAGTCTGGATTCAGTTTGGCGTGAGTCATTTGGTTTCACAAATTCAAGACCAAAATCAGTCCTGGTAATCAAGGATTATTATAGAGATACAGTCTAAAATCTTGCCTGATTTTGAGAGATTTTTGGCAGTAAAAGTTTTTCTCTTTCCGTCTCCCCCTTTTATCCCTCCCCATTTCACTGTAGCAATGGGGTTGTTAAATAATCACTGGCAGGGATAATTACAGTAGTGACTTTTGTGGACCTACCTAATAATTTTAACTATTCAGTATGCTATTGGTCTAGACAGTGTTTATTTTCACTCTTAAGGAGTATGCAGTACGTTGTAAAATGTGTGTTATTGCAACTGAATAGGTGTCCAGGGCCCATAATCATTCAATACAGGAAGCTAGAATTAGAAGTGAAATATAAAAGTGTATTTCCTTCGTGAACTAGAAGCAGAAATTGCACTTCTTAATGCCTGGTACAGAGAAGAGTCAGTCCTCTCTTGCCCTTCACCTTGTAGCCTTTCCCCTTCTGTAATGAGGAGAGGTTCTGCCAACAATGTGGGGAATAGTTTGACGGTGTAGCTCTTTCTCAATAATGTGCATTGCAGAATAAAGGGCAAACTATACTGGGCTAGATATAGCAGGGCAGCTCACACTGGTTTATCCAATACAAGTTATGTCAAGTTAAATGAAATCCACATCTTTTTTTCTTAATATCCAGGACCCTGTACTTTCACAAGAAGCAAATGGAACTCTAAGCCAAAAAAACTCTGTTTATAATAACTCCAAAAGCACGTATCGAATATCTTGCTGTGTTTCAGTATCATAGGTCAAAAATACAACTGAATACTAATTGTGCTGTTTAATGCAACCATTTTGAAAGTCTATTTCTAACCTTCTTTGTTGGTCTCACATGTTCTTATTCTATTAGCAGCCCATTTTCTGATCCCTTCCCTCCCTGTTTGACATTTCAGAATGAATAACAAAGCCATTTTCTAAGTGCATATGCATTTCCTCAAGGAAATCAGGACTTGAGCACACACATCGGTCTTTGCATGCATGCCAACAAAGCATGAATAAAAATAAGCCTGCCTTTGCTTGCCTACATGCTAAAGTCTGAATCTTCCATGCTTTGAACTCTTGCTCCAAAATGCAAATGTATAATTTAAGAGGACTGAGGCAGAATAGGCTTGAGCATAACTTCTGGGTATATGCTTCCTATAGCAAAATACTCAGATTTGAATTATGGTTTTAAACTTCCTCTGCCCCAGGAGTGGTGATTCCACAGAAAGAGGTCAAAGAAAATCAGGGTGCCTAGTGGCTGGGGGAGTCTGCCTTGACCAGCAGACAAGTGCTGAGGATTGCTTTCTTTCTGGAGAACCTTTCAGGTAAAGTAAGAACATCAACCATGAGATATGAAGGTGAAATAAGTAGGAAAAAACACTTTTGTGTGTCTTAAGAGATGATATGCAAGAGAGAGAACTGTTTTTCCAAAGTAAACTGTTCTGTGTACGTGCCAAAGTGGAGCTTGTAGAAAAGTCAGTCAGGTTCAGGTACTGGCAGTTGAGATGGCAGCTAAGCAAATGTTTTGGGATAAGAAGGCTTGACTATTGGTTAGGTCTAATTACATTTAATATGCCCATTTATTGGTTTTTATTTGCCTAGGTGCTCATAATTCTTTCAGGGGAAATTGTTAGTATGTCAGCCGTAGTGTTGCATGTAACTGAGTTAATTTATTAAGAACAAAAATAGATGTTCCAAGGTAAAGGTGGTAGCAATCAAGTCATTTTGTGTCTCATTACCTTCTGAAGAAGTGCAGCCCATCATTTAAAAAGGATGATGTCTATTGCCTATGTGCATTTGTTTTCCCTTCCTCACAGATACAGACAAGGCTGCTGTATAAAAAAAAAATGCATACAGACTGGTAGCCTGTGACTACTGGTGTACAGATTTTTTTTCCCTCTGCTGAATATTGATCTTGTTTGGAAATATCATGGGAAATATTCTTTACTGTATTTTACAACACTCAGTAGCTGAAGAAAATGAGATATTATTGCTGTAGGAAAAAAAATCCTGCCACAATTATTAAGCCATGAGCATGCATTCAAATTTTGATATCCCACTATTATAGCACAGATTGGCTGACAGCTATGGCTACTGGAAGAAGCCTTGCTCACCCTTAAATTACCAGCTAAATTTTCCAGTTTCCAGGGAACCAGAAATTCAATCAATTACTGCTGCCAACTCTGTAAGGTGTTACCAAATTGCTGCTGGAAATGATGCAGAGGTATTTTGCAGGGATAGCTTAGAAAGAGATTTTCTTAAATACTGTGTTTCAAAATTGTATGAATTAGTCAAATGTATCTTCTGGAATTCTTGTAGCATTTATACAGAGGCCTTAATACTTTTGTGGTTCACTCGTCACTGACTTCTCAGAAAAGTCATAAAATTGTTGAAAACTTTTACAAAGGACATCTTAGAAAACACAAAGCAAAATGTTTCTGCAATCTCCAGATTGCAAAAAATTAATTTTATGCATTGAAATTTTTTTTTATGGAGACATGTTTCTGTATAAAAATTAGACTTCACAGTTAGTGTCTTATAGCTCTTACAGCTTAGAAAAATTTTCAAAGGTTCTAATTTCTTTGGTGCTTTAGACAATGTTCTCTCAATTAATTGATTTGAATTTGGCCTAGATCATGCAGGCCTTGGTAGATTTTACTTCTTTCTTACTTAACTGGTTTTCATCTTCAGTGAAAAGTACAGAGTGAAGAACTAGAGTGATATACTTCAGCTAATTTTGCAACATGTTTAGTACTAGCTACTAAATTTATTTTCACTAAGGATACAGCTGACTGCTTTCTTTCTTAAATTAAAAGATTTGGTTTTGCACTTAATTTTCTTTAGTCTGTTTTCATCAGTGGAAAAGTGCTGATAAAATACTAGTTGACCATTAGAAGACAGATAAAATAGAATGATGCATCTTCATTACTATCGTATTCTCTCTGAACTGTTTTTTCTTCTTCCTTCCAGGACGGTTCTGTTTACTCTGACCTCTGTAGTTGTGCTTGTCATCACTACTGACTGGATCAGCTGGGACAAGCTGAATCGTGGATTTCTGCCAAGTGATGAGGTCTCAAGAGCCTTCTTGGCTTCTTTCATCTTGGTGTTTGACCTTCTTATTGTCATGCAGGTACACTCTCCTAATGTTCCACTCAGGCTGTTGAGGCTGCCTAGTCACTACTTCCTCTAGAGCAAATGGTGTTTAACTAAGGCTACAAAAAGGTAAATAAATGTTTAGTTTGCAATCACTACTAGTAAGGGCATTTTATAACATCATTCTCAGTAACTTTGCAAAAAAGTCCTCTGGCTTTTTATTGTGAAAATATTGCTGATTTCTTTTAGAGTGCTAGGTAGGAACTTCATGGCTTTGCAAATTAGAAAGTGTTTTCTGCAAAAATTACATCATGAAAAGAAACAGAAGCTGGTTGTTTTGTAAATTCAAATCTTCTCTTAGGAAGATAAATTCAGATAGAAAAAGAAAGAAATACGTCCAAACTTCAAACATCTACAATATTAGGTATACACACACTAAGATACTTTAATTAGTATTTGCTATTAAGATTCAACTTTTCAATTCAACGTGAATTTTTTTTTTTTACTTGATGGCAGGTCCTTGTAGTGTAATGACTTCTGCCTGAAAGCTTAACTGGGGAGATGATTTATTTTAATCTGCCTGATGTCTGCTCCTTTGAATCTACCTGCTAAGAAAGGAGTCTAGGTCACAAGTATGTGGCCAAAAACCTTCTTCATGTGAAGCTGTGCTCTCCCCTTTGCATTTGTATGTAGTTTGAGCCTTGTGTGAATAATTCACCCAAACCTCTGTGAAAAATTATGTCATTTGGGCTGAGGTAAGGAAGAGGAGTATGGAAGGCCCATGGCTGCTCATAGTCCTAGACATATTAGACTGTTGAACTGAAGGTCAGCAAAGAATATGAGAAGAACCAATGGGTCCATCCTCTCCAGTATATTATTAATTCTGCCAGCAGAGAGTGTTTCTGAGACACTCAGTTCTCTTTAAAAAGCTGTCTATTACTTGAGTAATTACCATAGAGGTGACACTGGTGGCACTCAGATATTATCACTGCTGTACTAGGACTTCAAAGGTGCATAGAATCCTATAGTTCAGTTTTGGTTTCCACTATCCACCACTGTTCAGTGCTCACTGTGGTTCATGGTTAGAACTGGGAGGATAAGAAAGGAAATACTGTTTTTCTCATAATACTGCTTTTCTCATAAGATTTCTGGTGCTTTGTTTTCTCTACCTTTGAAATTTGCATTTTGTTTGATGTTTCAAAAAGATTCGAGAGAACGTATAATAAATGATTGTACTTTACAGAGCTGTAATGAAAGTATGAATGAAAATGCAGGATGTATCAAGCTATACTGAATTTGGTATTGCATGCAGGGTAGAAAAACAGAGCTGTCTTCATATAAAATAACTATTAAACCAGCCTTTTGGCTTTGAGAAAAGAAATTCCAGTATTTTGCTCTTGGAGTTGCTGAATATAGAGAAAAACCTTATGTGAAACAGCTTGTCCCAAGCACTCTTTCATATTTTTATAGCACAAAACAAGAGGCTCTTTAAAATTGCATTTCTAAGTGATATTTGTGTGATGGAGTTTTTTATTTACTTGTAGTTGTTTATTTGGACTGTGAAAATATGTTGGCATATTTTATTTACGATGTAGTTCTAGCATTGCTTCTGCAATAATCTCATGAGAGAGCAAAGTATTAAATCACATGGAATCACAGAATGGGCCAGGTTGGAAGAGACCAGAGTGGGACATCTGGGCCAACCTCCCTGCTCAAGCAGAGTCATCCCAGAGCATACTGCACAGGGTTGTGTCCAGACAGTTCTTGAATATCTCCAGTGAGGGAGACTCCAAAACCTCTCTGGGCAGTCTGTTCCAGTGAAGGTGCACAGTAATGAAGTTCTTCCTCATTTTCAGGTGGAACTTCCTGTGTATCAGTTTCTGCCCATTGCCTCTTGTCTTATTGCTTGGCACCATCGAAAACAGCTGGGCTCCATCCTTTTAACACCTTCCCTTCAGATACTGACAGAGATTGATAAGGTCATGTCTCAGATGTGAACTCAGCAATAAGGGCAGGTGACCAGTGACGAGTTTTTCAGATGAGTCAGGGTAGATGGAAATTCACCTTTAATAAAACTGATGATGGATCCATATATCCATATATCCTGGGCTACTTTTATAAGAATTATGTGGAGTGTTTCATTCCATTCAGAGTATATTGCTCTTTCTAGCAGTTTTTAGACACGCCTGTCAAATAGCATTACAGAAATGGATAACCATTTTGAAGACACATTTATACTCAGCTAATTGTGCAATGTTTGCTGAAGAATCCTACTGTGGGGGCTGGCTCTGTTGTAGTGTATCTCCTGCGGCCTGAAGATCTCTGAAGGAGAAGAGACAGGTTCAAGTGGGGTGACTCTGGGAGAAACCTTTCTGTAGCAAGTAATAGATTTTCCTTCCTGCAGTCTCTCAACAGTAAAGCCTTTCCCTACTTCTTTGTCCTTTCTACATCCTCATCTATCTATGGATTGTGGAAGTGTTCCTTATCAGTACTGATGTAAAACATTTGAAAATAATCCTGAAAAGTGAATTAAAGAACTAGAAAGGAACCATCTTGACCTACAGCTTCACTTTATTTGTACTTAGTATGAAATCCAAGTGACATACCTGAGTATATTCCTAAATACCATTTAACCAAGAAAAGTATAATGTTTCTCATGCCATTATTGGGGCCATGGCATTTCTTAGTAGTGGGTCAGATGTGAATCTCTTTCCTATCCTAGATTTCTTTTCTTGATTCTGCCTCTACAGCTGCTACTTATGGATTTATAGATTTTTGGCTGCATTGAATTCCTCAGTCCCAAAGTGCTGTTTTTTTTCCCTGAGAGTCACTGCTTTGAATGATATCAAGTCTCTCTCCTTTCAATTTTGAACACAGAACAGTAGCTCTCCTGAGCTCCACTTTCATCCATCAGGCATCTGTTTTCTCTTAATGTTCCTGTATCATGTCTCTGTGACTGGTAACAAGGGAATGAGTTACTGTGTTCTGAGATAAGTTAGTGCAGTCCCAGAAATGGCCAGCTCAGGAACAAGCACATAGAAATGGAGTGTCCTACAGAATGAAATGTCGCTGCCTGTCTCCTGGCAGGGAAGTAAGGCTCTGAGTAACCAGGGCATGGAGCCTCCACACCTCCTTCACTTTGTTGTTTTCTGAGGATAAGGCAAACAGAATGGAAATGTATTATTATAGCACTTCAGAGAATGAAATAATGCTTTGGCAATCCAATGGTTTTATTTTAAAGGAAAACACTTTGGAGTTTAATGAAAGTGTAGGTAGTGCTTATGTAAAAGGGTGATGAGGGGTAATTAAAACCCAGACGTTTCTGTTGAAATATTTTCAGGATCCAGTAGGATATATAAATTCCTTCTAAAAATCCTTGAAACATTCTTTTGTCCCCTTGCCAGACCCCACTATAAATTACAAGTTTATTTCTTCAAGTCTTTCAGTTATTTGGGGACTAAGAAAAGTATGAGCAAAATCATTTTCTGCTGAGAAAAGGTGGGTGTATTTTGTCCCTTAATGCACATTGCCATTACCCTTACCATTTTAACGAGCTGTCTGGTTTTTCTTGCAGTGTTACCATTCTGTGCTTGTCTAGTTTGATAACTGGCACCATCATTTTATGCTGTGGATTTTATTAAACAAGACATGTGAAGCACAGTATTTTAAAGTACATTTCATCTTTTATACTGATTGCAGATGGTTAAATCTTGCTCGGATGCATTATATTTATCTCAGGCATTACAAATCCAACTCCAGTGATTTCTAGCTTCTGTAACTTGGTGTATTTGTGATGACCTGAATCTTCTTGTGCCAATTTATACTGGCTGAGGGCTGAGCCCTTTTTTTAGCGCTGTCACTTAGTTCCTCATTTGCAGAAGAGGAACAACTGTAGTTCTTTCCTTTCACTATTTGTGTGATTGTCTGCTTAAGCCCCCAAGGTGCTCAGTGAAGGAGGCTGACTTGGTATAGCTTCTAGTGTAATCAGGCACCAGTCCCAGCTGGAGCCTCATGGCTCTGAGATGACTACACCCAAAATGAATTAGCTGAAAGAGCTTCTCATTTGTCACAGTCATTCCCTTTTACCCTGACAATGGGTACATGCCATACATGTGACACTGAAGCCCTTCTTTGGCAGTGCAGGTGTTTGCCTGAAATAACAAAGCAGTTGCCTAAAAGTAGACCCAGCATTTTTATATACTGCCCCTGGAAACCAAAATATCCAGGCCCAATTCACAGAAAAACATGCACTTATAGGAACAAGAAAATCTGGGAATTTTTTGCTAGTCATTCATGGGGCTATTTTAATCTTTAACAGCAAGGAGAGCCTTTTCATAGATTCTGCTGTAATCAGTATGTGATAGACTTTGTTATTGCTGGGTGTATGTGCAAGAAATGTTGCATTGTTTAAGAGTATATTGGAGTGATTTATGTTGATGTAACAGTAATGGTGACATTCAGATAATTTCAACTCTCCAAGCAATGCTCTGGAATGTATTATTTGACTGTAGAGATCTGCTTTGTTATGAGTGTTACACAGGTTTTTATGTGAAAATAAAAATTCTGAGATGAGATTGAACAGGTTCAGCTGCTTTCTAAGTGACAGGATTGCTTGCAATTTTTTAAATGCAAGCAGTGAATTAAAAAGAGAAAGATAAACCTCTGTTTGCCACCATAAGACAGAGCACTCCCTTGGCAACACATTTTATGCCCATCCATATCTTACCTTTAGCTAATGGCATATTGAACATACAAGACTTACAGACAGGTTGTACAGAGCATACAGATCCGCCTATCAATAATACTGAGTTCAAGTAAGAAGAGGGAGCAAGCATTGCTTTGTTGCTCTTAATCAAACCACAGAGGGGAAAAGAAACAAGAATATGCTTGATATTGTTAGTCTAGCTGAGTAATTTCTAGAAATCTGATTGAATGTCAGATGTTTATACTTCCTCAAAAAGTTTGAAGCCTCTCATATGAAACATTCACAAAAAGACAATTACTTCTATTGCTTTTGACTTCTTCTAACATGCTATAAAGCTGATGCTTTTATTTGTATAACAAACCAGACATATTTAGTCACTGAGTCTTGAGATACCAAATGCATTAGATATTTTTACATCTGCTAGAATCCAAACTTTACTGAGGCCATCAATAAATAATTTGTTTCCATATGTATAGAGGAGGGGAAGTACTCCCCAGTGCTTTTAGTGATTTGAAATTATAGGTTGTGATGGTTTCTGAGTTTCAACTACCATTTAATTACTCAGCTATACTGTGTTTGGCATCATGTCCCTGTGGGTCATAGGCGTTGTGTAAGTGTGGGTCATAGACATTGTGTAACATGGCCAGTCAACCAGGTTTCTAGTTTCCAACAGGTCAAAACCTAAAAGTTCCTTCTTCTGGAATCTGACCATGTTTGCTTTTCTGTCATGTAATGATTTTTAGGGAAAGGAGATTCCCCAGAATAACTCCAGGTCTGACAGATAGATTGGGCACTACATAACACAGTGTAATTTCTGTGTTTCCCACTGGAGCAGCAAAACAACAAAATCAACATGCCTATAGAGTCTCCCAAACAGTCTCAGTAGTGTCCAGCAGTTGGCTTTGCCTCGGCAGGTCCCCATATAATTAACCTTTTCTTTATCTCTTCCTAGTACCCAGATAGTATTTTGCAATATAATTTTTCATTAAGATTCCTTAGAGCCCTGCCTGAGCCAGTGGGTGCTGTAGGCATATCAACACGCCATCCCTCTTATTGAAATGGTACAAGCAGGGACAAAGGTGATGGTGCTCAAACTGGGAAAAAGCTGTAGTTTTCACTTCACCCTCCCCAACAATTTTTTGAATGCTGCAGTAGCCAGTAATGCTGAACTTGCCTTGATACCTCTAATGCCAGAATGACACGGCCTCGGGAAGTGTGTGATGGTGTCATGTGCTTTCATCTCCCACTTCATTAGCAGAGAGAGCAGCCACAGGCACAGAGGGGACTATCCATTAGCAACCAATGCATGGTGGTGCTGACAGAGCCTCTGAAAGAAGTCACAGCAGGCATGGAATCCATTCCTCCCTGGATGAAAATAGCTGAATTGAAGAGCCACTTTCAGGACTGGCTCTGGGGAAGGTACTGTGTGTCCTTAAGGCAGCCTGATGCTGGGAGTGGTTTGAAACACTTATGGGGGCCATAAGGGAGAAAGAAGCCCAGGCCCAGCAGTCATGGTGGCAGCTCCAAGCCTGGCCACCTCCAGCTCATAGCAGACATTTGCAAGCAGTTTCCTGTATCTGCATTAAGATCATGGTGGTAGCAGGATAGTCGTGCTGTGCAGGGTAGTATGTCAGCAGGGAGAAAGATTGGGAATTGGCTTTATCCCCTGCAATGGTCTCCCTCCATCCAACAGCACTGTACAGTGCACCAGAGGCACAGGGGGAGGCACAGACCAAAGGCAGTTGCTGGTGGTGGTGCCCCACTCCCAGGGAAGTACTCATGGTTTCAGTGACCCAGCCTTGGCAGGGCTGCTTTGCTTCTGTGGCCAGCTAAATTTGGCCATCACTTCAAGAAGCTTTTACTCTGTTCTGGCCAACTCTGTTGTTTCCATCTCTTTTTCAAGAATCATAGAAGCCTCTGGAGTACTGCACTTCTCAGTGAATTCATGGCTTGCACCCCTGCCAGCATTAATTTAGTGATACAGTAAGTCAGAAGACTGCAATATAGTTGTTCTGACTGGTAATGGTCATTTTTTCTGTGATTTTATTTCATCTTTCAGGAGAGACATTGAAGCTCTTTCATTCATATAAACCCAGTTTTGATTTCACTCTCCATCAGTTCTCGCTGAGCTTTGCTGTGATGTTGTTTCCCGCATCACATACCACACAAGGAATTAAATGATGGAAATTTGTGGCTAGGTAATCCATTCTATTGCCCGTAGATGAAAATGAGAAAACTGTTTACATCTGTTTCTAATGTATTTCACCATGGATTTAAGGGTATAATCCCATAATCTTTCTTGGATGGCTCTTAACTTTTAGTTTCGCTCAGATGGTTTTTGGACTTGACTATATACAATGTGCAGCATGCATTTGGTCTATAATGAAATTTCATTCCAGTTCAGAACTGTGTGCCCAAAGTGGAGAAACAACTCTCAACAGCAGCGCTGATCCCATGTATAGCACACAATCTGTTAAGGAGTAGGTGGCAGAAAAGAAGTGATTAAGTGATCTGCTTTATCAGACAGCTAGTTAAGAGGAAACCAAGAAGATTGTTGTTCCATGTCAGGAGTGAGAGTGTACATTTTTATGGCCTTGATTTGGCCCAGTTTTTGCAGACTGTGTCTTGGAGAAAGCTGCCCAGACTTCTGAGACTGTGCCGGGTGACATTTCTGAAGGCAGCTGCTTGGTGGTGCCCCAGCAATCTGCAACTGCTACCTTCCAGACAAGAACTGCAGCATGTTTTTTTGGCTCTAAGTTGTGCTTTTATTCTGACCTTAAGTTGAAAAGCACTAGCTACATCTTCTGGATGAATGTTAAATACCCTCGGGCATGTTTTTGGCTTCTGGGCCAGGCAATTACTGTACTAATCTAAATTTCACAAACTTACTGTTCCTCAAGGTCAGGCTGCAAAGATTTTCATATCTGGACAATGTGTTCTAAATACAGGGGATTAGGGAAAGAAAAGCATCACACAAACAAGCCTAATATCAGAAATGAGCAGATTGTAATTTAAGCAAGACGAATACCGTGACATATAAAAAATGGTGTTAAAAATGTGACAATACCACCGAAGCTGCAGAATCATGCATTCAGGAATTAGGAGATGTCAGAATTAAGTCACTGGTACAAATTTTCACCCCTATTTTGTCTGTGCATTGTGATACCATCTTTAATTATCTATTCACATTCCATTTTTCCACAGGACCTCTCTCACTTGCTGCACTGGATGAATGGTGTTCACTTAATGAGAAGCTATTTGATATTTTGGTTTACCTTTTCTGTGCAGCCTGTGGCCCCAGGCCTTGCTTACTGCACATGATTGGAACCTTGCTGTGAAGATGAAATCATTCATTTCCTTGTGGACTTTTTTTGTGACACTCATTGCTGTATTTCCTAAGGGCTTCTCAAGCATTAATATATTTATCTTCACAATAGCCTTCACAACAGGAGTATTATTGTCCATTATTGTCCACATTTTATACTGAGGCACAAAGAAATTAAAGTCAAAGGGCCCCTAATTTGAGATGTCTGATGACATTATTATGAAAATTCATATTATTACCCATCTCTTATCTGAGCAGTTACCTAATTGAGGGAGGAGAATCTAGCATATTATTTCATTAGTAACAGACAGAGCCACATATTTACTTGATGTAATCTTATATATTATTATACTGGCAGCCCTATTTCTCTTGTAGCATTCAAACTATTTTAAAAGCAGTTTCTTTGCTTGTTTTGAATTATGCCTGTAACTGTGTCAAATATCTAGCTCCATAAAAAGCCTGGTTACTTTTTTATGCTGATCTTAAAGGAGTACAGTGCTGTCCTATCTGGATAGTGCCATGCACTACAGGACCTTTGTTCTCCCCACAAATATTGTGTTAACTCTTCCTCCTCCCAGTGGTGATATATTCAGGTCCAACTCTCATTAGTTTCAATACCAGCCATGGACACTTGTCACTTGTGCAAATTTAAGCATAGGTAAGGTAGAGAGGCACTCCCATAGGGAAAAAAATAATAGTTTGGTTCTAGAAATTCACTTGGTGTCTCTTAGATGTCTCATAGCAGAGTAGGTTGAGAGATGTGTCATAGCAGAGCTGGTCAAATTCAGTTTCTCCTAGCAGCAATGACTTCTGTAACAGGAGGCAAATGTTTTCACATCTGCTGCTACTCCCTCTTCCCACACACTTTCCAGCTTGTGCAGCAGATGCAGAGTGCAGGAGAACTACAGGGGTCTCTGTCACTACATATTTCCACCTCACAATCACAAGTTAGATACTCCTTAATGAAAAACATTGTTTCTTTTGGAAAAAACTCTGTGTGATGCAGTAATTAAGAAAGGCTTGTACCATGCCTACCCACGAGGTACAGATAACCTTAGTCTGGCATTTAATTCTTGAGTCTTCACCATTGAAATTTTCAGGCAGATGCCTTAATGCAGGACTTTCTGTGTTCACAAATCTGATTTTTTTACAAAAAGATAGCAATCTCAAAATCAAAAGCCTGCCATATGAATGCAATGTGTCTTATCAGGTACCGGAACTCTTACCTCCCCTGCAGGGATGTTTGCCATATGAGCAACTGCTAATAGCAGTGTCTGCTCTTTCTTCCAATGAGATAGTTCATAAAAAAGAAGAGAAATATACTTTGCCTCTGGACTTCACATCTACTTGTTAGCAGCAGAGGATGGTGATAATAAGAGGCATGACAACCAGTCTAAACTCCAGAGCCAATGAGGTACTGACACTTTCTGATCATATGCCCAAGTGTGGCTTTTTCCTTCCTGTCACTTCCAAATCCTCTCTCTGTGTCTCCTTTTTTGCCCCCATCCTGGGTTCTCCTCATGCCCAGTTCTGTGACATATACCATTATTTATATCCATTTCCAGCTTTAAGTCTTTATGTCTCTCATTTCTAGGGTCCATATTTAGTGAATCCAACTCATCTACCCTGCAACTGCTGTTCAAACCAGAATCACTCCTTGTCTCCCTTCCCCCTCTCCATAATTCAGTCCCTTTTTCCTTAACCAGCCAGTCCCAACCTCCTGCTCTCATCCCTACCCTCTTGCTCTTATTCAAGTCTCTCCTCTCTTCCCCCTCCTTTTGTGTAGTCCATTCCAATTTTCCTATCAAACCTTTCTGTCTCTATGGCCATTTCCTTTCACAGCACGGCCCAGGCTGTGTGGCTGCACATGGACATGTCATGCCCTCTGCTCAGCCTCTTAGAGAGGACTGGTGGGGAGGGAGGAGGACAGGGTTTAGCATAGAATAATTTAGGTAGAATAACACCCTTAAGATCAAGTTATTAATGCAACACAGCCAAGTCCACCACTAAACCTTGTCCCTAAACATCACATCTAAGTGTCCTTTACATACCTCCAGGGATGGGGACTTAATCACTTCCCTGGGTAGCCTGTTCCAATGCATATAATACAAAGTTTCTCTATTATATTCAATTATAAACTTTGAGTCTATATACTGCTACATTGTGCTATGTGCAAAATAAAAAGAAGAAGACCAAATAATTTAATTTAATTTTAAAAAATAGTCCCTGCTAGGTTCAGTCTCAGACTCAGAGCCAAATGCCCTTTTGCCTCCATCTTCCTTCAGGTCCAAATGTCTAGCTCAAGCTGTACTTGACTAGTTCCATCTGCACACAGAGTACTTGGGATTAGTAATTAGAGGAAAGCTGTCTTTCTGTCTCTTGGCTGCTGTGCAGGGCCAGCTCAGTCCTTGTTTGAGAGCAGCTCAGAGTCCTGCCAGCAGCAGCAGCAGCAAAAAATGGGGGTGAAGGCAAAGGGGAGACAGAGGATGCTCTGTCTCTTCTGAGATTTGAAGTTTCACTAGAGCTTGATGCTCTAGGAGCTAAGGGACTCTGGCATGCTGAGTGATGCACAGTTTGGGAAGGTGCTTGTTTCTGAACCTTGAGCTAGATTCTTGTAAGTATGAAAATTACTGACTTTTCAAACTTTTTCAGTTTGAGGCAGGTATTTATAGCAAAGCAAGAGGCACATCTCTGAAATAAAGTTACTCCCTAGCTGAACTGTGTATCTCCACTTGAGATAACTCTACAGACCAATGTAAATTATTTTCCATTTGATCTCACTCTCAGAAGTGATTAAAAGGTGATAGTTGAAAATGTCAAAACCCTAAACCAGAAACATAGAACCAAAAAGGGGAAAAAAAAAAAAATACAGCCTGAGGCACACACCAGGCATGAGCTGTGTTCAGCCCAAGCAGTTATATTTGGAAAAGTTATAAGCAAATGAGATCAGTATGTGCACAAGCCTATTTGCATGACAAGCAGCAGCGCTGTGATTTCTGCCTGTTCTATATGGCACCTGCCACGGTGGTAGCTGGATGCCCTTGTGTATGAATTCCTCTAGTGCTATTTTTTATGTCAAAACCACTCTCTTTTCATACTGCAAGGAACTTCCTACATTTCATTCAGTTGCTTTTATAAAACTACACTAAGAACTGAGTTTTCTCACTCTGTTGCACTGTGGGAGGGGTCTGGAAGGAAGAAAGCCTCTGCTCCCTTGACCTGCTGAATTTCAGATCAACAGAGGTGAGACTTTTCCCAGCTCTACACAACTGTGCTCTGGCATCCTGGCTCCATTTTTGGCCTTCACTGAGATGGTGGCTCCAACCTGACACAACTGTGTTGACTTGCAGACAAAATGCCTTGTTCATATGGTGATGCTCAGAGTCTGAGTAGAGTTATTATGTAGCCACTTCCATGCAACTTTTCTCAACCTAATTTTTGTATTCATTTTTCTAGCAATAAAAATCTCCCTTCCCCTTTACATAGTGCTTGTACGTATAAACAACTTTGAACTGTCAAAAAAAAAAAAATTGAAAATGAAGTTTTTATTTCCCATACAGTTCTGGTAAATAAATTTCCACAGTGTGTCCTAATGCAAATATACACAGTTGTGAGGCTTCTTCTGCAATGACCACTTCAGAGAGTACTGCTCACTGGGACAGTGAGAGGCAAACAGTATTATCCAACAAAGACATTTTATCTACCATATCAATTAATGGTATTCTTTGTTTATACGACACAGATTGCTACTGGAAATTCGGAAAAGTGGTGAGAATCTTAAAAAACTGTAGCTAAACTTCAAGTTCCATTGGGGATAGAATAGTTGTGTCTGTATAGCCACACAGAGATCGACACAGGCTGGATGGGCCTTCAGGTTGTATAAGAAAATTCAATTAAATTATTAGTGTGTTTTGTGGCTAAATCATAGATTTCTGTAACATTAAAATTAGAATGAGAACATGTTTTCCTTAGTGATTTAGTTCCAAAAAGGTAACACATGCTGGTAGAAATCATTGTGCAGAATCATACTCATAAAAAGATAAATGTAGACATCAGTTATATGATTGGTAATTGCCCTTATATAATGGAAATTAGTGAACACTTTCAGTGCTTTTTCAGGGAGGTAGAATGTTGTCATTAGTGCCAATTAAGTAGCAAGCCTCTAATAACTCTCTTTCCTGTCAAAGAATCTGTTTCATGGGGCTTCACTCTCTTTATTAGCAAAAGGATTTCCATATACGTAGTATGAGTTCATAGGAAACAATTATTTAGAATTGGGCATGAGACAATGTAGACTTGAATAATATGTTTATCAGAAGGAAATAGTACTGCTTGCTTCTTAAATGGCTGCTACAAGAGTTAAATGAGAGATATTTTCCTTGAATTTTGACTCAGCTTTTAAAGCAAAAAGTTTGTCAGCTGACTGCAGGAAAACTCAGAAGAGAACTGGGAATGAGAGGCAAAAAATTTATTAATATTTTAGGAAGGAGTATTTACTTACTAATACAATTTCTTATTCTGAATTTCTAACAAAAGGCTTAGTCATTCTAAGTGACTGTTATGGAGTAGTCAAGTCTTTGATCAGCCTTTATATTGGTCACAGATACAAGACAGGGAATTGTAAAAATTTAACAATTTTAGTCCTTGCGCATTATGTATCCTCATGTGCTATGTTCCTATAGGAGCTTGTAATCTTCTGTGGCTCACTTGATCTAAAACTTTTAAAAAATTATTTTCTGGTCAGTGGTTTTTGGAGCCTAGATCAGGGAAGTCTGTCATTTGTGAATGAGATTTGAAGTACAAAGACTATAAGCTCAAGCTTTAATCTCTTTTCAGCATCTGCAAGGTCTAGTAGGGTCTTCACTATAGTACATGAGAAATGTTTTTTTACTAGCAACTCAGCTTTTGAATTTTTGCTTGCAGAATCCAGTGTAATTGCATTTTGGGCAGATCAGACCGTTTAGCTGACCTCTGCTGTCAGGCATGCTGATGCAAGCCAATAGCCCAGTAGTCTTTAATTTCTAAATTAATTCGAAAATTCCTGTAATAATAACCTGTTGTGTGGCTCTATTTTTTCCCCCTGCATTGTAACTCTCCAACTATGATTATAGATTCCTTGAAATTGCAGTAGTACTTGTTATAATCTGGTTTGCTCATATTTATTTCATATTTGCATATCTTGAAGCCGTGCTTTGTACATGTAAACTGGATAAACCTCAGGAAAAATGTACTGTCTGAGGAGACACCAAAGAAATGGTCTGTTTTCTTTCAGAAACATGGCAGCAAGCCTATTGCTCTCTGGGCTCTAATTGCATTTACATAATTAACAGCAGAAATGCCCAGCCAAGTCAACACATAGCAGGTCGCACTTCTACAGACCAACACATCCCTCAATATGTTTTTTAGTGCATTTCTTATGTACCTAAACTGCTACATCTAGTTTCTATCTATATATTATTTTGGTAAATGTAGATTGCCTGGGACCCTCTGATGAATAATGATATGTTTGAATGAGCACAGCAACTTCAGTAGCAGACATTTGTTCTGTAGACGTGTTAAGAGAATTATAATTGATGCCTTTTTTTATCACTGAATGAAAGGAAGATAAAAGTGCTGCTATAAACTGAAAGTTGAAATAAATTATGTAAAATACATAATTCGCATAATGACTGTCCCTTTATAAATGTTCGTATTAAGTAACCATATCATTTGGGATAATTCCTCCTTGAGGAATGCTGTGAAAGAACAGCTCATTCATTTTCTTGACTTAGTGAATTGTTCTAAAACAGCTCCTCTGATGAGAAAATTATTTTAGCATTTCTTTAAACTGTTGAAAATGCTTTAATTCTAGACTTTCCTGTTCAGAAATTTCAGTAACTATGTCCACTGTTATGGTTTTGACTAGTTAAACTGGAGCTGTCCACAAAAAAACACACACATCTACCCCTTGCCTGCATGCATATACACATGCAGAACCTTGCTTTAAAACTCCACCCAGCCTATTAATCAGACTGACAGAGTAATCACTCAGCTGTAATGTAGCTTCCCTGATTCATTGATGGCAGTAATTAAAATTTTTGGAGCTTAGAAGTTTGGAAGCCATGGATTTATCTGCAGGCAAGATCCTGTGATCTTGCCCTCATAACAGTGTCTCTGAGAACAGGCAATGTGTCATTTCCTAAAATTTTTCTCAGGAAAGTTCTTAAAGTTAAAAATAGATACTTATGAATTAAGCCTATCACTTGTAGATGTTACAGAGGAACTTGTGGGAGAAAAGACAGTAAAGGGGAAAGAATTTAAGTGTTATTGTTTGTGGCAAAAATCAGAGAGATACAGTGTTATGTGAGTAGATGAAAGAGCAAAAAGAGAGATGGTGTAAGAAACCATCTCCCCTCCAAAAAGTGTGGCTCATGGGGCACTTATGATTTTCCTCAAAGAAAATTCTCCCTGACTAGAAATTAGCAAGTTGTCTTCCAAAAGTAGCATCAGCAGCAAGAGGGGAAAGGAATTTCTTGCAGATCAAAAGTAAAGACTAAATAGAAGGATTGCAGGAAGACATTCTTCAGAAGCATCTGTTAGTTTGAATAAGCTTCTGCCAAGAGCTGTATATATGGTTTCTTATCTACACTGAGTTTCCAAATTTTTTGAGCTTGTCCACCCTGTCACACCCTGTCTCATCTGTCTTTCTTTTTTTTTTTTAATTTTAATTCAGCTGTACCTTATGGTCAACATAGTTGCTATATTTACATTCAAATCTCACTAGGAGAATACTTCAATTTATTGCATACCACCAGACATTGATTTTGTCTTTGAGATTAGAAAAAACACCTTAATCGTGTTTTCTCTGTTCCCAAGGATTTTGATGGGAACAATTTTGAAATTTGGACCAAACAGTTGTGTTTGCGAAGACCAGGGTGAGTTTATGCAATTAGAACTTGGTTCACTGTGTTTTTGACAAGCTCTCCCAGGAGGTTTCTAAACATTGAAAACCTTTTAGGATGAAGTTCATGTTTTCTGCATGTGCTTGGCAAAGGCAGATATATTGCTCCAGTATAAAAAGCTGAAATTGCATTTTTTCTCTCTTATGCTCAGGAAGTGATTTTTGCATTGGGCGTCCGACAGGAGGCTGTAGAAAAGAGTTATCTTCCCTAATTTTTATTCACATTGAAGACTATCCTTTTGGCTTATGATATTGTTCATTCTCTTGGGAATGTAATTTATGTATGTATAACATAGAGTAGTAACATCACATCCTCAAGGGATAAGAAAATGAATGGATTTTTGGAGAGGGGAGGGCAGATAGAAAAGAACAAGCTTAAGCAAATAATTCTGTGGCTATTAAGTGACATACACTCTCTAATAATTGGATATGCCATGTCACTGAACTGCAGAGAATGACTAACACAATGCTGTGCATTCAGTGGAAGATACACTATAGCAATCCCAGCACCACACTAGTTTTGTGTAGCCTCTTATTTACCAAAAAAAATAATACTAGTAGACCTGTACTTACATAGGGAGGCCTACTGTTTTCTTATTTTTCTCAGGTCCTGGAACAGATGTGCCTAATAGCCGCACCAACAGCTTTTGAGGATAAAACTGGAGGTAGAGGGGTAGCATGGAGATGGGGCTCAGGAATGGGATAAGTTGCCTTCAGCAAATTAAGTTGTTTGCAAACAGTATGCTGCCAATGCGGATCCTACCAGCCGGCTAAAATTCAGGACACAGAAAATATTTAAACTTCAGCCTAAAAAAAATAGGGAGCAGTGAAGACCAAGTATATTCCATATTACTCTTGTCCCTGAAACAAAAATTAGGTACAGATATCCATGTTTTGCAGACAGCCTTTCTTCTTACAACCTTTGCATGCAGTTTCCTTTCTATTTCCTTATATAAATTATACATTTATTAGTACTATATATATTACTTAGTCCAAGTTATGAAGAGGAAAATAATTTTGTAAAGAGCTATTACCATTCTTTTAAGGAAAAGGGAATTCGCATTGACTTGTTTGCAAAACCTACATTTAAATTCATGAGACATTTCTCTCTGTATTCCATATGCATTCAGAGTTTTTACTTTATGTCACCTTCAGCTCTATTATTTTTTCAATATCAGTCAAATGCAGCATGTAATACTGGGTTTTTTTCCAATGGAAATTTAATATTACTGTTTCACTACCTTTATTGCAGCAAGCTGAACCTTGCCCATGCTATTTTGTTTAGTTATAGCTAAACCAAAACAAGCTGGATGAAAGTTTCAAACTGAGAGCATTGGTCCAAATCTGCCACTTCAGATCACACTGAATACCCAAAGGGAATTTATACTTTTCTTTGGAACCAGACACAAATTTTGGGGACTCAGAATAGATGATGGTAAAACTCTTCAGAGCACATATAATAATCCAAAGGAATATTTTCCAGAACAGAGTGGCTCCTCAGTCATGTATTTCTAACATTGATGCAGCTTTGGATTGATTTGCTTTCCACCTACAGGGAACAACACACAGTAATCCCCTTGCTCCAGATGCTCTTTATTTTTATAACACCATTTTTATTGTGTTGCAAAGCTTATAGCAAGGAAATACCTGCTCAGGTATTTTACAGCAAATATTTCTTCTCAGGTTTAGGTAACACTAAAAAACACCATTAAAATTTAAATATCAGGCAACAAGGAAATTCATGTATGTGGATATTTGGAACGAAAAGGAACAATATTCATTTTAATACAGTTGAACTTAGCTGGAGACAGTTGTCCTAATGTAAAATTACTTTAGAACCCTAAATAGAGCTTGCTGTTCTCAAATAGGTACAAATGTCATTACCAGTGTTTACAAATCCTGAAATGCCCCAGATACCATTTAATGTTCAACTGCAGTGTGCGCATATTTCCTACAATGCAGCGGTATGTGTTTCATTGTGTGTACTTCCGCAATATTCTGATATTGCTGAAGATGATTGTACAACAATATATTTAAAATTTATTTTTATTCGCCACATCATAGTCAGATATTTGGTTTTCTAGGGTACCAGAAAGATTGACTCTTCTGTCATGATTTCCCTTGACAGTAGGATGTAGTCTCAGTAAATGTGTAAATATATGTATTGTGTATTATTAGTGAATGTTCATTTCTCCTATTCATCACAGAAATAGCTTTCATAAAGTGTGTCACTGAGGTAGTTAGAAAAACCATTACAACTGGCTGGTGGTTTACGGAAGTTTCAAGTAGAGAACAAGACACAGTTGCTTTACTGGAGCTGATTTCTTTGTCTTTTACACATACACAATATTGTAACATGAACACTTTGCTTAGCAGTTTAACAGGCTCAAGAATTAACTGGAAAAGTTTTAACTGGTGTTTCTCATCCAGATGGGTTGAGCTAATAAGCTCAACTGAGGTCAGACATGAGAGACACAGTAAAAGAGTAAAAGCTTACAGAAAATAGAGGCACTGAAATAAAATCAAAGAACATTTACTTTTGAGTATATTTCTTTTCATCAGCATTGTCAGCAGTTGTGAATAGCTATTCAACAGGTAAGAGTGATTTACAACAAAGAGGAACCTCAGGGTGTCATCTTGGATGTGTGAGACCTCACATTTTTCTGATGAAAAGTCCGGTGGACTTGTCCTAGGACATCCTGGGAGTAAGTGCACAGAGGCTGTGCTTTGTGGTGCCTGCCACTCCTCAGGAATGGATAAACGGGTTTCACCTTGCTCCTGTTTGACACTAATAAGTACTTAAAACTTAAAGGGCAGCTGTAGGACAGAACAGTCCTTGTCCTCAGCAGGAAATGGTGACCACATCTCAAGATTTGAGTCCTTTTAGTGTCTGTCCTTTCTTGTGCACTGGCTTGTTCACAATTTGCTCCTAATGTAAGAAAATTAATGGGTAGCCATTCACTCTTCACACTACTAGCAGCATTTGTCCTGTCAAGAAACTAGCAATGATCACTAGACCAGAGCATTGTGCTAGATGATAATTAAAGACAGCCAGAATACAACTCCAGTCCTAGAGAATTTCATTGCTAAAGAAAATC